TCTGTGAAGCGGGTGGCGCGAGAGGGCACGCGCACAGCAGACACACCCACTTTTTCCTCCTCTGCTGTAGATAAAGAGAGGATATTGAAGTCATCTAGGATCTCAGCCTCACTAGTCCCCCCGCATATACCTCCAGCTCACTATCTCCCTCCCCCTATATACAGCCTCTGCAACTCCCACTCTTCCTTCTATAAAGATGGATTGAAGTTCTCACCAGAAGACGTCTGGCAAATTCATTAAGGATCAAAACAATTTCCAATCATTGTGAAATATATCTTATAATAGGAACAGTCATCAGGGAACTCTCAACTTATATATTATATTTTCATTATCTAACCAACTGAAACACTTAAAAAGAAAAGGCAGAACTGATACATTCAAATTTCCTGGCAAATGTAAGCAAAAAGTAATTTTTAATGAATATCATTATAATGAATTAACTGTTAGAAGTGGAGTACCACAAGGCTCAGTTTTCGAACCTGCTGTTCCCTATTAGGAGTGAGGACATAAATGCACACATATAAAACAATCTAAAGTAACATCTATGGCTGTATGGCACATCAGTGTCAAGTATGGACGCCTAGTCTAAAAAATAACATTCCTAGAACAGGATTAAAGAGTTCCCATCTAAGCATTAGACATGGAAGGTCTTTAATACTGAAAAAGACTAATCAAGCTTTTTTTTACGAAGATGGAGAGAAAAGATAGCTCTATATGTGATCATAGAAAACATGGTACCATATCCAAGAAGAGTAGAAGGGGTAATCTGGTTAAGACACTCCCCCATAAGGATAAGTCCGATATGCGAAGCTGAGCCTCGCCCGGGCTATGAGGGGAGCCCGGCCTGTGCCGACTAATGTCGACTCGATCAACGTGTGTCAGCGAGTGCTGACGCGACAGAGCTTAGTCCTTACCCACCGCGGTGCCCAGCCACAGCAGTAACCTCCGAGCGACAATTGCAACTTCTCGCGCCTGGGCGGGGCGCGAACCGCCGACCCTTCGGATGAGAGGTCGGCACATTACCACTGTACTAGCCTGGAGGCTGACACTCTCCCAGACAAGGAAAACATGTTATCGTTCTGGAATAACTGCTCAGACTTCCCAATTACGAAAAATGTGTAACCAAAGTTTCTTAATTTGTGGGCCAACACTGATTAATAGTATGACAAAAAGCATTCAAAATAACAGTGCACTGTGGAAGCATTTCATGCAAAATTAGACAATTGGTTGCATTCAATAACAGACAAACCACCAACCACTGATAGTGAAAGAATGCAGGCTGAATCAAATTCTATGCCTCAGCAAGTTCATAGTATGTGCAAGAAGCTGAGCAGTCCCTCAGGACAGTCCTAGCATGAGCCACTCATAGGGTTCTTGCTTAAACTTACAACATCTAAGTAACCTTTAACTATCTCAAGCTCAACATCATGCTTTCACAGCCTGATGCAGCAGTTATAGAGAGACTTTCACGTCCAGTTGTTGTGCATGGCCATGATTATTATTAGTTTATGGTAACTGTCATTGTGTATTACTACATGTTTTAGCTTAGTTTACAATGTAGTCATTCTTGCATCATTCTAATCACTCTACATCCATTGGTGACTAAGTACGCTCATTTCGAACTTGCAACTTACCAATAACTGTCATTGTGGAGCTTCCTACGAAAATCTTGAAATAAGGTGCGTCTGATATCACTTCACATCTGTAAGTTCCTGAGGCACTGAAATCCACCTCACGGAGAACTACCTTGTTCGCACCGGATTCCTCGATCTGTTGGATAACATTCTTTGTTTATATATTAATAAGAAGTGGTTTATAGGCATCTTCCTACATAAATAGACCGGCATTTCAAGCGCTGCCGGAGCCGCCAAGCATATCGACGACACCAACTCCTCATCGTCTTCCTCCTATTCGCCATAGAAAGTGCGTCACATGTGCCAATACTGATTCACGCGTTTATCGTTTACACTGATTTACTAAAGGACACATACTTACGTTGACCTGGACATCTTGTCCGAAAACAACAATATCTCGCTCTGATGAGTATCTGAAAAGATTTTAAATGTTTGTTATACTTTCAGTTTAAACCCCGATGTCCCTGTCTTTTGTAGCAAATTTTCAATTGCAGAAAGAATTTGTTTACATATTTGATTTTCAGGCTTTACAGTTATTTCTCTTTCAAGGTATACAGTGAGCATTGTACGGACAGCTGTTCCGGATGCATCTACGCATTTATTTCTAATCTATAAAGGGATCTTACTATACAAAAACAACCGGTATTTATGAGTGAACAAATTTCATGACAACAAAATGACAAATATAACTAGGTTCCTCATTACAGCTAAATGTTAAGTCTTCCACCCACCGGAAGAATTCGCTGTCGTTGAGGTACCACTTGACAGCATAGAGGCCCATGTCGCCAAGGTTGTAGCTGCAGGTGAGCGTCTGGTCTGTGAAGCGGGTGGCGCGAGAGGGCACGCGCACAGCAGACACACACCACTTTTTCCTCCTCTGCTGTAGATAAAGAGAGGATATTGAAGTCATCTAGGATCTCAGCCTCACTAGTCCCCCCGCATATACCTCCAGCTCACTATCTCCCTCCCCCTATATACAGCCTCTGCAACTCCCACTCTTCCTTCTATAAAGATGGATTGAAGTTCTCACCAGAAGACGTCTGGCAAATTCATTAAGGATCAAAACAATTTCCAATCATTGTGAAATATATCTTATAATAGGAACAGTCATCAGGGAACTCTCAACTTATATATTATATTTTCATTATCTAACCAACTGAAACACTTAAAAAGAAAAGGCAGAACTGATACATTCAAATTTCCTGGCAAATGTAAGCAAAAAGTAATTTTTAATGAATATCATTATAATGAATTAACTGTTAGAAGTGGAGTACCACAAGGCTCAGTTTTCGAACCTGCTGTTCCCTATTAGGAGTGAGGACATAAATGCACACATATAAAACAATCTAAAGTAACATCTATGGCTGTATGGCACATCAGTGTCAAGTATGGATGCCTAGTCTAAAAAATAACATTCCTAGAACAGGATTAAAGAGTTCCCATCGAAGCATTAGACATGGCAGGTCTTTAATACTGAAAAAGACTAATCAAGCTTTTTTTTACGAAGATGGAGAGAAAAGATAGCTCTATATGTGATCATAGAAAACATGGTACCATATCCAAGAAGAGTAGAAGGGTAATCTGGTTAAGACACTCCCCCATAAGGATAAGTCCGATATGCGAAGCTGAGCCTCGCCCGGGCTATGAGGGAGCCCGGCCTGTGCCGACTAATGTCGACTCGATCAACGTGTGTCAGCGAGTGCTGACGCGACAGAGCTTAGTCCTTACCCACCGCGGTGCCCAGCCACAGCAGTAACCTCCGAGCGACAATTGCAACTTCTCGCGCCTGGGCGGGGCGCGAACCGCCGACCCTCGGATGAGAGGTCGGCACATTACCACTGTACTAGCCTGGAGGCTGACACTCTCCCAGACAAGGGAAACATGTTATCGTTCTGGAATAACTGCTCAGACTTCCCAATTACGAAAAATGTGTAACCAAAGTTTCTTAATTTGTGGGCCAACACATTAATAGTATGACAAAAAGCATTCAAAATAACAGTGCACTGTGGAAGCATTTCATGCAAAATTAGACAATTGGTTGAATTCAATAACAGACAAACCACTGATAGTGAAAGAATGCAGGCTGAATCAAATTCTATGCCTCAGCAAGTTCATTGTAGGTGCAAGAAGCTGAGCAGTCCCTCAGGACAGTCCTAGCATGAGCCACTCATAGGGTTCTTGCTTAAACTTACATCTAAGTAACCTTGAACTATCTCAAGCTCAACATCATGCTTTCACAGCCTGATGCAGCAGTTATAGAGAGACTTTCACGTCCAGTTGTTGTGCATGGCCATGATTATTATTAGTTTATGGTAACTGTCATTGTGTATTACTACATGTTATTACTATGTTTTAGCTTAGTTTACAATGTAGTCATTCTTGCATCATTCTAATCACTCTACATCCATTGGTGACTAAGTACGCTCATTTCGAACTTGCAACTTACCAATAACTGTCATTGTGGAGCTTCCTACGAAAATCTTGAAATAAGGTGCGTCTGATATCACTTCACATCTGTAAGTTCCTGAGGCACTGAAATCCACCTCACGGAGAACTACCTTGTTCGCACCGGATTCCTCGATCTGTTGGATAACATTCTTTGTTTATATATTAATAAGAAGTGGTTTATAGGCATCTTCCTACATAAATAGACCGGCATTTCAAGCGCTGCCGGAGCCGCCAAGCATATCGACGACACCAACTCCTCATCGTCTTCCTCCTATTCGCCATAGAAAGTGCGTCACATGTGCCAATACTGATTCACGCGTTTATCGTTTACACTGATTTACTAAAGGACACATACTTACGTTGACCTGGACATCTTGTCCGAAAACAACAATATCTCGCTCTGATGAGTATCTGAAAAGATTTTAAATGTTTGTTATACTTTCAGTTTAAACCCCGATGTCCCTGTCTTTTGTAGCAAATTTTCAATTGCAGAAAGATTTGTTTACATATTTGATTTTCAGGCTTTACAGTTATTTCTCTTTCAAGGTTTACAGTGAGCATTGTACGGACAGCTGTTCCGGATGCATCTACGCATTTATTTCTAATCTATAAAGGGATCTTACTATACAAAAACAACCGGTATTTATGAGTGAACAAATTTCATGACAACAAAATGACAAATATAACTAGGTTCCTCATTACAGCTAAATGTTAAGTCTTCCACCCACCGGAAGAATTCGCTGTCGTTGAGGTACCACTTGACAGCATAGAGGCCCATGTCGCCAAGGTTGTAGCTGCAGGTGAGCGTCTGGTCTGTGAAGCGGGTGGCGCGAGAGGGCACGTGCACAGCAGACACACCCACTTTTTCCTCCTCTGCTATAGATAAAGAGAGGATATTGAAGTCATCTAGGATCTCAG